GAGAAAAGGAGTCCAACCCCGGCTTGGGAAAATCAATGTGCATTTTGCAGAAAGGAAGGACATTGGAAAACAGAAATGCCCTAAAAGTGCGAGGGAACCGACTCCCATGTTGGTGAAGGAGGTGGATTAGGGTTGTCAGGGCTCAGCTGGCCCCCAAGAACCCAGATAACCCTGACAGTGTGGGGGGCCACAAGGTGGACTTCCTTGTGAAACTCATAGCACTCACTCAGGCCCTCTGGTGGGAAAAAGGAAAAGAGTGAACATTTTAGCTTCCTGAAAAAGCTGCCTTGAACCCTGCCACACTCCTCCCTGACGTGGAGGCAGAGGCCCCTTTGCATGACTGCGAGGAGACACTGACTACCCTCACTTTCCTCCGCAAGAACCTTGTGGACCAGCCCCTGCAGAATCCGGATGAAACCCTCTACATGGACATCACCCGGTATGTGGTATGCGGGGCGGCAGTAGTAACATGAGGAGGAGCCAGGGAGATCTAAGAAGCCCTGGTGAGCTCCCCAGCCACTGGCCCTGCCAGACCTACCCAGGGACTGCAAGGATGTATCTCCTTACACTGCCCTTACAGGAGGCCAAGGAATTGGCTAAAAGACCAGTAGGGCCCCTAGAAGTTCTCATAGCCCTGCCAGCACAAAGGCTCCCAGAGAAGCCTACTCATCTGCCGGAGGAGCAGAGGCTAGCTGAGAAACTAAGGGCCCGGGAAGAAGAGGCTGGATGGTTAATTCTGTCAGATGGGAGGCCTATAGTGCCAGAAGCCCTGGGGCGAACCATCGCTTCCCAGACCCACCAGAGTACCCACCTTGGGGGAACGAAACTATCAGACTTGATTAGAAAGTGCCAAGTATGTGCCCGAGTAATCAAGGGCCCCCTGTTGTGGCCATGCCGGGGCAGCGAGTCCGAGGTCAGAACTCCGGAGAACACTGAGAAATGGACTTCACTAAGACACCAGGAGGACAAGGAAGGTATAAGTACATGCTGGTTTCATTGATACCTTCTCTGACTGGCCTGAGGCATATCCAACCAAGGCAGAGGACAGCACAGGCAGTAGTTAGAACTCCTCACTGAAATTGTCCCCCGGTTTTAGCCTACCACTATACATGGGGTCCGACAATGGCCCAGGTTTATCACCAAGTTACACAATCCATAGTTAAGGCCCTGAGAGTTACTTGAAATTGTATTGTGTTTATAGGCTACAGAGTTCTGGACAGGTAGAGAGAATAAATTGGACCTTAGAAAAACATTAACTAAGTTAAAATTAGAGACTGCGGAAAACTGGGTTAAGTCTCCTTCCTTTTGCTCTCCTCAGAGCTAGGTGCATCCCATATGTTTGGTAGGTTCGCCACCTCTCCTTCCCCGCCTAAGGGAGGAAAATCTTGCCCGGCTGGTCTACCCGAAATTTGCTTAAGTCCTTACAGGCTTTGCAGAGCAGCGCCATGTCGGCACGATGGGTGGTGAGAGCCGTACGGGAGGAGGACGCACCAGAGAACCAGTCAACACAGCCTTCCTTCTCTCCAGGTGATCTCGTCTGGGTGAAGCATCACAACCCTGGGCAACCTGGAACCTAGATGGGATGGGACCCTACCAGGTGGTGCTGAGCACTCCAACCGCCATCAAAATTGCAAGGAAAGAGGCACTGGATTCATCGCACCCAAGTGAAGGCGGCTGACAGCGGTGACACCCCCGGAGGTGGAAGTAAAACTAACCAGAACCCACTAAAGGTGGAACTAGTACCTGCATCATGATCTATCTACTACTGCTCGCTGTCATGTGGAGGT